GCGAGCGAATGAAGAAGAAGGAGATTGCTAGTCTCTACGTATGCGAAGTCTTTGTGTAATTATGAAGATAACGCGAAACACGTTCATAGCCGGCGCGCCACCGCCGCAAGAGCCTTTCAATATCCAGTAATCTATAATCTATTTCACCATTCATGACGAAAATCGCACTTGGAGGCGCGCGGCCGCACGATCACCGACTACGTGTACCTTAGTACAAGGTAGAGGAAAAGGATTTGCGGGCCGCGCGGCCAAACGTGCGGGGCGCAGCGATTGAGGAGGGCGATAATATTGGTGGGCAGGAACGAGGTCAAGCTACATGCCCAGTACATCACAATTGAGCTTCATGTATAGCATCGATAGGGTGGACATACCTTGGACGTTGGCCTTGGCGGAAGGTCGGGGAGGACGCGCGCCGGGTTGGCCTTGGCGACGTGGGGCTCGTCGAGAGCCGGCGTACTAGAGGCAAGAGCCTGATATAGAGACGACAGTGTGAGACGACCGATGTAGGAGGAGGTTGGGAGTTAACCGCCCAACCTCCTCCTACATGACGCCTCGGCTCGGCCTCGCTCGACGTTAGCCACCGGACAACTTGCCACGCGGTCGTGCATCGCGATCGTAAACTGACGCCTGGTGGATATTTATTACTGGCACCGTGCTAGTAATACACGAGAGCGAGGTGCTTGCCAACATGCTTGGTCAAGAGAACACGGGCCTCAGATCCGCGTTCTCTTGATCGAGCATGTTGGCAAGCACCTCGCTCTCGTTGGCAAGCACGTCGCACTCGTTGAGGTCGGCCAATCTCAAAAGGTGCGTAAAGCGAAAGAGCGCACCCAATCCTCGAGGTCATGCATGCATCGGGTTGGGTGCTCATTGTATCCGGAATTCCGGATACGGAACGCATGCCGCTCCAGGCCCGATGCTGAGGCTTGTGGTGGGCTGGCAAACGCTCAAAAAATGAAATCGCTCATACTTGGCATGTTGATAGAATGGACGTCTGGGATCCCAAATCACATCGTCTCGTCGCCGTGCGAGCCATATAGCGGAAGAAATCAACCACCAAAGTTTGTCTCGCGCCGTCTCACTATAGGAGTCTTGGGCAGCTGTGATTTCCCACGAGATTGTTGCCGCCATACTCCTATTTCTTGTCGACATACCCAACGAGACTATAGACATCGTCGATCTCGCACGTGATGGGTGACTTGTCTGAAATTGGCACTTGTGGGCCACGGCCTCGACTACATCGCCACCATGGCGAGCCTTGTCGGTCCCATCCTCGACACGCTCGTCAGTGGCTCGCACTTCTGAGGCTGCCTCCAAGCTGATACCTTCATCGCGCCGCGATCCGAAGCAGCGACTGATGCGCTTGCCACGCCGCTGGTTGATTGATGCACATCAAAACGAGAACCCGCAATCGGCGTTGAAGTTCGCTTTCACATGTCGCGTATTGCCTCTGCATACAAACAGTAGTATAATCAGTTGAAGAACTTGGCACGCGCGAATCTCTACGCCATTGCCGCAGACGCTGGTTGATGGGTGGCACCAACGCGGCGACACTGGCGGCGACGTCCATGTCGACAGCGTACATGGACGCCCTTCAGAGCCTCGATGGCACGGTGCAGATGAATGGCAAGTGCGCTCTAACGGGCGAGCTCTCTGGTATTGGCGCGCCCAAACTTGGCGTTGACGGGTCACTGGGCTGAAACCCGTCGCCGGATCTGGTGCCGGTCAAGCAGCCAGCGTCGGTTGTCGCCAGTCTTGGCACGGCGCCGCTTTTCGTGCCCAAGGAGCACATTTACTTTATCCAAGGCGCAAGCGTGGGCGCGCTACCTCGACGACTGGACGCGGCGCAACATCACGAGCGTCCTCAAGCCCACGTGTCGATGCCTCCAGCTGCATCTCTCGCACGTGACGATCGACGGCCCCGGCGCGCGACACCGTTCCTACCTCGGCTCTGGCGATCGATGCCAACGCTACAGAAGGTGCCTTCGGGCTTCAACGGGTCGGGCCACTACATGCTGCGCTTCCATGCTCGGTACGGTGACGTCCTCGCCGCCTACAAGAAGGTCCTCGGGCCGACGAAGGCAAGTCTGCGCGTCTGGACCCAAGTCGGGGCTCAAGCGCAGCGCCAGCGGGACGCGGCTATGGCAGCGTACCTGGCCGGCGAGCGCGCGGCGCCGACAAAAACCGACGCAGATGCAGTCATTGCGGCGCTCGAAGCTCAGCAGCCGCTATTGCAGACGCCAACACCGATTGTCGGCCGGGACAGCCGCCCCCATGGGTACGAGTCTGACGAGTTTGATCGCTACTACTACAGAAACGATGACATACAAGCAGTCTGTATGCATGAGGGAATGAGCATCGCAAGCAAGGACCTCATGACATAATCTAAGGGATACGCTAGGATAGAAGCAAGAATAGAGAAGTTGAGACAAGATAGGATGCGTAGTATAGATTAGTATAGGTTAGAGGTCGTATTTTCACCCGTGGCCGTCGTCAAAGAGTCAGACGGCACCCGCAGTGTTGCCCTTGCCGTACCCATTGTTGTACTCTTCCGGGTAGATTTCGAGCCAGGCTGCATGCAACGACGCGTAGTGTTCGGGCTGCGTGAGCTGCCACCCCATCGGGTCCTCGGCCCAGAGCACAAAGATGGTCGTGACCGCGCTCGCCATGAGCGACATGAGCACGTTGTTGACGATGAAGCCGACGATGAACGCGCCAAAGCCAACGACATACTCGGGGTCCTTCAAGCCAGGAAACTCGGCTTCGTGGCCCGGGCGGTTGACCAAGCTCATGCCAAACCACGCCGTGAGGAGACCGACGGCGATGTTCCCGAGGAAGAAGACCTTGCCCGTGAGGTCGTCGTTGACGATCGCTGTCCAGCCCTTTGCAGCAAAGAGCGCCGAGACGTGCTGGCCCGCTGTGACAAACGAATAGCCGTGGATACCAACGTACGCGTAGGCGAACCGGTTAAAGGTCTCGACCCACGACCGAATGCAGCCAATGATGCACGCGACGCAGGCAATGAGGCAGGCCGCAATGCAGTTGCCGCTCTGCCCCACGAGGCTCGAGAGTACGTTGAGCGTCGTCTCGATGGCTTCAAGGATCGCGACGAGGAGCGACCCAAAGCAGATGCTGCCGAGGTTGAGCGTCACCGCGCGGAGCCAGGACGCGATCGTGAGGCACGGCGCCGCCGCATTGACCTTCCAGCTCGCGACCGTGCCCGAGACCGTGACGGCGACGATGTTCTTGACGACCGACGCGCCCCAGTAGAGCACGAGGAGCATGCCAAAGAGCGACCCGAGGAAAGGACCCCACTTGATGTTGACGTTGCAGTCGCTTAGCGTCGCCGCGCTCTTGCAGGTGCTGTTGATGACGAGATAGTCTTGGTGGTGGGCGAGGCCGAACGCGCCAACGACCCACGTGATGCCCCATGCAAATTGGACGCCCGCCATGAGCATGCCCACGAGGAGCGTCATGGGCAGGCGGAAGAGCGCGCAGCCCGCGACCTTGAGGTGCTTGGCCGCAAAGCGCACCCGGTTCTATCAAGAGAAACTGTCAGCGACGCGATTCAAGGGGGACGCGTGGACGTACCCGGATGCAGATCGAGTAGAGAAGCAGCAGCAGCGAAAGCGTGCCAAAGACAACCGCGGGCCACCAGTAGTAGTCAATCTTGCGGTCGTAGAGCTCCTTGGTGAAGAAGATTGCGGCGGCGGCGCTGGCCGCGATGAGGAGGCCGAGCGTCGCCCAGATGAGAAACTCACCGAGAAACATCATGACGACGATCCACAAGAGCGACGCGCCGAGCGCGAGGAAGCCGCAGTACGTCACGTACTGCATGACCATCTTGAAGCCGGTCGAGCTGGTCGCGTCCGTGACTTCGGTCGCGGTCACGAGCGCCGGGCCGTAGCTGCCGGCGAAGAAGAGCGTCATGATGAGGACACCGAGGAAGATGGCGAGGAAGAAGACGTCGTTGCACTCGCGCTTGGCGCCTTCCTGCTGCGCATGGTACGAGTCGCGCTCTCGGGCCATTCGCAAGTCGGAAGCAGAATCGGAAATGGCAACGTCGCTGGAGCCAGCGGCCACGTGGGACAGCGAAGGTTATTAGCCTGTCCAACAGCAGTGCAATTAATTATTCGCCTTCTGATTGGCTGCGACATATTGGGTATCTAAAATCGCACGAAAATATATCGACCTTGCTGTCACACGCCGTCGACGGCGGAAGGAGCCAAAGACAACTTGGGCATGGGACACAGGCGGTCGGCAAAGGTATACGGCGAACGAGGAATATCTGCGTGGCGCTGCTTTCAAGCGAGCGAGATGGCGAGCGCCAGGCACGTACCGCGATACTAACGCCCTACAGTGTACTTCGAGTGTACTTGTGCTGTCGTACATGGCTGACCAGTGCCATCATCCTGGACAGACTCGCCGAGACGGCTCGCGATTCATGATGGATGACGCGTACTTTGCATAGAGCTGCATGTCAGTTCTTATTTTCCAAGTATTCGCAGCAGCCTTGAAGTCGCACGCGGCCACCATAGCCGTGCGAAGCGGACACTACAGTCGCTGGATTCACTAGCGGTCAAGCCCAGCTCGGGCAAGCTGGGGATGCGGGTGGGTAGTAAGTAGTTCAAGGTCGTATGCGGCGGCTCAGAATCGTTCGAAGGAAGTTTCGATCGAAAGTTCGTTGGCATTCGAATTTGCTAACGCACCGTGAGCACTGTAGCTTCGCGGGTATCACGCAAGCAAATGCTAGCCCCGGGTTCCGTGTTCATTTCCAAATTATTTCATGTCCATCAGTCCAGCATATTTAATTGAAGCATTCAGGTTGTCTCGACCTTATGACGTGGCAGCACTACATTCATTATAATCATCATCAACAACCTACGCTCGGTTTCCTTGCTTTTTAAATACTATGGACACCTTGTCTTCTTCTCGGCAAAGTCGGTGTCGTCGTTAGAGCTCGTACGAATCGCGGTCGCCGCCGGTCTCGGTGCCGCGGTCGTCGATCGAGTACTCTGAGTACTGGGACGAGTAGCGCACGATGCTGGCCTCCGAGTCGGCGCGGTCAATGTCAAAGGTCGTGCTTGCATATGACGCGCGCGAGTCACCGGACGTTGCCAGAAAGTTTTCACTCTCCCGGTCGTCCATGCGCGGCGGCTCGTCGACCCAGCCGGCACTCGACGCGCTAGAGCTCCGGTGCGACTTACCGCCGATCTGCATGACGTCCGAGCCGTCCGAGAAGCGCGTGAGGTTCATCGAGTTGCGCCGCTCCAGGATCGGGAGCGTGCTCACACGCGGCTCGTTGTACGTGAACGTCACGTTGCCGCCCATCGCGTTAGCTTTGCGCGCAATGTCGGTCGGCGGCGCCTCGGCGTAGAAGCTCGCTTGGTTCGGCGGTGGCAGCGGCTTGCCAAACATGCTGTTGTTGTTGTTGGACATGGGTTCAAATTTGGTCGGCGGCGCTGCGTTGTACTAGAGATAATGTAAGCTTTTTTGCGAAATGCGAATGCGAGGTACCGGTCGCACGGGCGAGACGGGTTTGCCCGTGGGCGCAGCCGGCGGCGGTGAGTCAAGGTCCGGGTACTCGTCGTCACCGCCGCTGTTGGCCTTCATGACGACGGCGGCGACGATGCCACCGACAACGGCGAGGCCACCGATAACAGCTGCCCACATTTGCCAGTTGCCCGACGAGAAGAAGCCTTCGGAGCTCGTGCTGGCGCCCGAGCCGGAGCTCGACGCCTTCTTCTTGGTCGTCGGTTCAGTCGTGTTGCTGGAGCCGGTCGTTGAGCTCGTCAGCGAAGCCACAGGCTCGGCGGTCGCCGTCGGCGTCTCACCTGTTGCGCTCGACGCGGAGCTCACAGTCTTGATGGGCGGAATCGTGATGGGTACGACAGAGATCTTGGTTGGTGTTGTGACGATCGGCGCGGCGGTCGATTGCGTTGGCGCGGCCGTCGACGGTCCCGGCGCCGACGTCACGACAGGCTTGGGTGTCACGGGTGTCGGCGCCAGCGTCGGAGCTTCCGTGGGCGCGACCGTCACCGGCGCAAGGGTCGGCGCCACGGTCGGCTTTGGTGACGGCGATACCACTGGTGTTGTAGTCGACGCAACTGGCGCGGACGACGGTGCGGTCGACGGCGTCGCGGAGGGCTCGACCTGGGCCATGCACGCGATACCTAAGGTCGTGCCGTGTAAGCCTGTGCTGTGGACGTCCGAGGTAGCGTACCCATGCTGAGGAGGACGAGGAGGCTCAGCCATCCTCGTGGGAAGAGCGCCATCGGTGCTAGAAAAGGGGCTAAACGGACTCTGGTTTCGGTGCCATCGGGCAGCTCGGCCAGCCGGTACTTTCCTCGTCGAGTGGCAAACTCGCCAACGAGCCAATCAGCTCACGCGAGGTTGCTCGTCTCTTGGCATTTTAACCAATCGGCGGACTGGAAGAGCCAGACCAGATGTAGTCACCTCGTAATGGGTTGGGCGGAGTGCTACATCCCAACAGTGGCGCCTTGAGTCTTCGATGCGCTCGCTTTTCGCTCCCCTTCGAGTTACGCAGAGGCCTGCCATCAGCCACAACAATACTAGATTATAGCAGGGGCTTGGAACATTGAGGGCGATGGGCGCGGATGCAAGGCCAGCAGCGTCAAGCCAGTCGAGCGATGTACACTTCAAGCGTGCATCTGTGGCGAGAAATGCGACCAACGAGCATTCGAGGAATCGACGTTGTGGTGCTGCCGCAGCATCTTTGTGCCAAGTCGTTCCTGCAGCGGAACGCTTTGTTCTTCTACAGTCGATTCGTTCATTGGCCTTTGACCGCCGTTTGCAGTGTAGCTTCAATGTGTACACACCACAGAACGTGCCAGCTGCTTGAGGAACCATCCAAGCACCAGAAGGAACGGGCAACGTATGCTTGCCTATGTGCCGCACGCCGATCACCCACGCTCCCCACTCGGCAGGCACCACCGAAATGCAAAGTGAGCTCCAGTACGAGACCGAAACCATATCACAAATGACGTGGCAGCGATGCCGTAGCTCCCGTGAACAGTCCACTCGTAGGACCAGCTCGGTGTAGTTGAAGTACTCTTGTCGTTGTAGTGAGTCTGTGTACGTCGAGTGTGAACTATTACTAGAACTAGGTGCCTTCCAATTTGATGCGAGATATGACGGCGGTGGCTGTGGAGCTTGGCCGTTGCGAATCTAGATGGCGCAGGCCAAAAGGATGTGGTCGCGGAGCCAGTCGTGGTGGTGTATGGCAGCCATCTCGAGGAAGAGATGTATGGTTTGGTTGTTTACACCACGTGTAGCTTGAGATCGTTCTATCCAAGGAGGTAGGCCAAGACCCGCGGCGCGGAGAGCGATCACCCCGAGAAATACGTGGTCGTTGGGAGCACAACATGTTTGTTTTCTAAAACAACCATTTTTTCACCACTTGAATCGCTGACAAGGACCAAAAGCTCCAAGTGCACAGGTAACGCTTGGTGTTTGTGGTGTTTTCTGATTGAAAGCATTTGATGGAACCATGATTGTCGTTACGACGAGTGGCGTTGCTACCGCGATGCGATAACGTCAGGACTCGCGCCGTTCAGAGCTACTGTGCCTTATAATTGGCATCCATATCTAAAAAGGCTGAAAAAGATCCCCCGACATTCCGCGTTGTATCATGTATCAACGTCGACGCTGGTTACCATTTGTGATTGGCAGAACGAGATGTATGTAGACTTATCGATCTGGATCTGTGGTGTTTCTAGCAAAAAATATACTAGTACTTGTCTCCGTACAAGCAAGACTTCTGGTAGACAACACGAGCGCGTTGTTGTTGAGATGAGATGCGCTTGAGATCGAAACATGTAGCTCGACGATTGGCGCAAAACCTCACGTTGTCCACCGTACCAAGGTGCAGAGTTGCCTCATACTGCAACAGCGAATTGATCTTGGTCAACCCTTTTCCGTGCACACTGCATGTGCTTGCAACGGAAAATGAAATCGACTCTCGTACGTACACGTAGCCATCAATTCTCACTGGCAGCTCAAATAAAAGACCAAAGCCGTATCTATTTTGCCTTGTACCACGACGAGTCGATCTTGGCATCCACTTCCATGCGCACTGAGAGCGGTGATTCGAATGGATTCTCCATGAGGTCGACGAGGAGCGCACACGCCTCCTTTGCGTGCTCTTCCGGTCCCTCCAAAATGATTTCATCGTGGATCTGGCACACCATTTCGAACCCGAGCTCGCGGAGCCGCGGGTTCTTGTGGACGTTGAGCATCGCCTGCATGACCACATCGGCAGCTGCTCCCTACCGATTCAAAAATTAGATATTCAGAAAAATCCGAAAATTCAAAAAAAATCACGATACCTGAATCGGCGTGTTGATGGCCGCGCGCTCGGCGTGGGACTTGGCTTTCCTGGCAGCAAAGCTCTTGGACGTCGACGTTGCGTCCGGAAGCATGCGATACCGACCCATGAGCGTCCGCGTGTACCTTTATCCGCCGCAATCTCAATCTCAAACGAACAAACTTTGCATCGATGCGTACCCAAAGAGCCGTGCAGTCTGGATCGCTTGCTCTTGCCACTTTTTCACTTCGGGGCGGTCGGCGTACCAGCGCTCGAGGGTCTTGGCCGCCTCCTCGCGCGACACGTTGAAGTCCTACACCGTTTCCATCAATAAGATCAGAGTCGTAGAGCCGGCCTACCTTGGCAAGGCCAAACGGTGTCTTGCCGTAGGCGATCGAAAAATTGAGGATCTTGGCGTCCTTGCGCTCTTTCGCGAACGCGTCTTTGAGCAGCGGCACGGGCGGCTTGCCCTTGGACGAGTCCCACTCAAGAAGCACTTCGCCCGCCTCGACGGCTTTCTGGACGTACTCGTACATGCCCATCGCTGTCCGCGAATGAAAATCGCCGCCCGCCTACTCCTGATGTAAGATGCCATACGACTATCGAAGCACGGGACCTTGAAGGCTTCGATCATGCCCTTGCACTGCGTCACGTGCGCAAGCAGACGCAGCTCGAGCTGACTGTAATCGGCGACAATCAAGAGCTTCCCCGGCGGCGCCGTGAACGCGTCCCGGATCTTGTACCGATCCTTGTCCATCGACGGCTACGACAACGCAGCATGAGTCGACGCAAAGTCACCACGTGATTGGTCCAACTTGGTTTTGCAAATTGGGTTTCCGACTCGAGAGACGGCCCGTGTCCGTATTCAGGTTCAACGCACAGTGCACGCGGCCATTTTCATCCGCGAGGTCTAGTCCAGTGTCAATCTTTCAATCTGTCAAGTGGAATTACCTTGGAGCGGCAGGATAAAGTTGTTGAGCATCGTGTTGATGCTGCTAATGTCGTACATTTGCTTGAGCGCGCGACAGGCCGCGGCGCCCTCTTCCTTGTCGGCAAAGTGCTCGTACGCAGAGCCGTATTTCGGCGGGTCCGCGAGTGGCTACGTTGCATGTCGGTATCCAAAAATCGAATGCGAGAGTTCTACCTTGCCCGCCAGCTCTCTTAGCACCTCGCTCGTCGCGGCCGGGGCGCCGCTCGCCGTAAAGGCTATCGGGGGAATCCCGAGGCCGCGGATCGTAATCTCACGCTTCTTCTTCGCCCGCTTCTTCTCGGGCTCAATGATTTGCTCAATGTTTTCGACGTCAAATGTCTTTTCGAGCGGGAGGTCGACGCTCTTTTTCAGGTTGGCATACGGGGCAAAGAGCAGCTGCTGCTTTTGCGACGCCGAGTAGATGTTCATGCGGTGGGCTTCCGGCACATACCGGCTGGCCCACGCAAGGACACTTTCTTCGAGCTTCTTTTGCTCGGCGAGCGCGTCCAACTCGACGCGCGCCAAGAAGCTCCGGTCCACGTGCATGCCCTTGCGCTCAATGTCGGTGAGGCACTCGCCAAACGGCACAATGTACTGCTGGTAAAACTCATACCTGCGTAAACTCCGATGAAAATCATATAAAATCAATGCCGTATCGTACATGGACTGCCGACCATCGACCGGCGAGTGGTGCCACAATGTGGCTTCGAGCTTGTGCTTGAGCACCTGGGGATAGAGATATGACATATACGCTAGAATGACGCAGAAAACGACAGAGAAACAAAGTACCTTGTGCAAAAACCACGTGCATTCGGCATCGTATGCACTGTATCGAATCCAGCGCTCGCGAAATTCGGGAAAGCGCTGCAGCTCTTCAACCAGCGGCAGCAAAAGATCTTTGCCAGCACTGCCGTCCTAAGCAACGCCATGAAATCAAGCGCTTTGGTCGGCGACGTACCTTCTTGAGCTTGGGCACGCCGAATAGCTCCTTCATCGGCTTCTTGCGGGCGTGCATGAGGTCGGCCGAGAGCGCTTCCAGCGAGTACCCGCCTTTTTGAAACCTAACGCGCATGAGGAAATACGGCGTCGTCGGTTCGTACCGCGCCGTGTTCCAGAGCCGGGCCATGTGCATCGTGTCGCCGCCGAGGCCTTGGACGTTGATGTTGGTCGTCTTGTTGTACAGCACGTGGCGATCGAACGAGTAGTTGTGCCAGATCTTCTTGGTTGTCTGCGACTCGAGAAAACCGCGAAAGTACTCGAGCGTCCCGTCGGCCGCGTCGAGGTTGTCGACCCACACGTACGGGCCATTGCCAAAGTCGACGTCGGGACCGCTGTAGATCGAGAGGCAGGTGACGTGCCCATTGCCGACCGGACCCACCTTCTTGACGTCGATCTGGGCCACCTCGGTATCGCACGCATGGAAGTGGTCGGGCCCGAGCGACGCCAGCACCTGGAGCACGCGCTCAGCGCTCTGCTTGTCCTGGACGAGCGTCACGGGGCGCATGTCGTCAGCCTCGGTGAGGCCCTCAAGCAGGTGGGCATGGTCGGCGATGCTAGAGCTCCAGCGCGGGCGAAGACCTCGCGCGGCCAAGCGCGGACGAGCCAAGGACCGCCACATGCAATTTGGTTTGGGCCAATGATACCGCTGGCAACGCATTGGCTAGCCACACGCAACGCCAAGTGGTCCATCGCCTTGGGTCGCGCTATATTGCTCAGCGGATTCTTCGCACGAGTTGATAAATGCTAGCATTGACTTGTGTGGAGACCAAGCGTGCATGCACAAGGGTAGGTCGGCATGGTAACGGCCTGCCTGGGATCGATCGAGTTGCAAATGGCGTGTTTTTAGCTGGTCGAATTGTGTGTACGCCTCGAATGGCTGGATCCAAAGGCGATTCTGGTTGGCTTATTTAGGACATGGTCAGTCCATGTTCCACTGTACAGTACACGGATGGATGTGATTGGTCAATTAAGACGGCAAGTGCCGCCGATTTCACCAAAAAGGGCAGCTTTGAAAAGCGCGCTGCAATCGAGATCCCGCCCCGGCAGAAACCTATATCCGGATTCCGGTTAATTCGGATGATGACACACCAGGACTCGACCAAAGCTCTCGCCAAAGCCCTTACACATACCGGTATGACGCACAGGCACTAACCATCGATCCCTCCAAGCAACTATCCAAGTCAAGTCGAGGTGAAGTCGTCTATTCATTAGAAACGGGTGGCTAGATGTGCAGATATCTGATCGCCAAGCGACGCATGCAATGGCCGTGTCGCTAGACGCAATGCCAACAAAGAGAAGCAGCCACAAGAAAAAAGAGCGCCCCATAAGCATGGAAGGTACCGCGCGAGGATACTGCTCCATAGATCGTTCGGGTAATGAGACCCAATGCGACGATCTTGAAGAGTGGGTAGTCGTTCATGGCGATAACCACCTGACCCACGTACGGGATCGAGGCGCGGGCAACGCCAAGGATATCGCGTCGCTGCAGCCAGAGCTGGCCCGGCGCGTACAGCCCGCGATCGTTCACGTTGTTGTCATCACCCTTGGTCAAGTAAAACTCGACGCCATCCGACTTGCGCGTATGGACTTGAAGCACGCGGTGGGCAATCGCGAATGTCGCGGCCTTGCACCGTGAAGTCGACAGTGTCGCCAGTATCAATCTTGGACGCACCGTTGTCGAGGAAGAGGATGTCGCCACGCTGGAACGTGGGCGGGCTGCCGCTGAGCACGACAACGATCGGCGATGCGCAGCGCGTCACAGCTACGAGCCCGCGCCAGAGCACGAGGCCGCTTGCAGCAACCAATATGAGGTGGGCGAGCCAGCGCTTGCTCGGACGGCGCCGACGTCTCAGGTCTCGGCGGCAGTCGCCCACAACCGATCTCGTCATCGTGTCAATCTTGGTGGAATCGCCCATATGAGTAACCGGATGACAGCCCGTGGTATCCGGTTGAAACCTGTCAAATCAATGCCAGCCAAGACAACGTCGCTTGTTGCCGGCCGTTAAACAATATTGTACATGCATCGAACTACTAGTTTTATCGCATAGTAGATGGCGCCGAAGTCGTCTCGACGGGTGATTCTGTCGTCTTCTTGGGGCTGGCAGTGGCGTCGCGGTGGTTCACTGAGGTGGGTTGTGTCCCACAAACGTGATGAGATCCCATCATTCGGTTGGATGGTACTAGCAGTTGGGTACAGCCCGCGGCTATCCAATATGCTCGGCCATGCATACCTACCTCGGTGATGGACTCGTACCAATTAACTCAGAAGAGGCAATGTTGCACTCTGCGGTGCGCTTCAAGAAGGTGCAGCGCGGTACGAGAAGATGCATGGACGCTTGGCGCCAACGACACACCTACACAGCAGCTTCGTTCATCTAGCTGAATCTGCGTCGAGGCAACGTAGCTCTAAGCGCTTCGACATGCAGCGCCGTGGCTGCATACCGCAGGGTCGACTCCACCGTATATATCTAATCAAACGAGGAGCTTGCACGTAGGACCGTTGCCATATAGAGTACATCAAGTCGTCGCTCTATTCTCGCTGTGTAAAGGCCATGATGGCCATGAGGCCGACGGCGAGGATCTTGAGGGCCGGGTAGTCGTTCATGAGGATGGTTGCCATGCCCACGTACGGGATCGAGGCGCGCGCAATGCCAACGATATCGCCGCGCTGCAGCCAGAGCTGGCCCGGCGCGTAGAGCCCACGGTCGTCGACGTTGTTGTTGTCGCCCTTGGTCAAGTAAAAGTCGACGCCGTCCGACTTGCGCGTATGGACTTTGAGCACGCGATGGACGATCGGGATGTCCCGGTCCTTGATCTTGAAGACGACAATGTCGCCAATGTCGAGGTTGGGCTTGTTGTTGTCGAGGAAGAGGATGTCACCGCGCTGGAAAGCCGGCTCCATGCTGCCACTGAGCACGACGACGATCGGCGACTCGCCAAGCGTCCAGCCCATGAGGCCGCGCCAGATCATGAGCGCGCTCGTGATGACCATGATGAGGTTGAGCGCCTGATGCGTGAGCTGCCGCTTGTTCTTGTTGAGGCGTCGGACCTCTTCCACCTGCTGCTCGACCATCTTCATCATCGTAGCGTCGTCGGTCTCGGCCGCGGAATCGCAAAATTGAGACCACGTGGCAAGTGAATGCCAACCGGATGACCACAATTGTATCCGGTATTTACCTGTCTAATGTGATACTTTTGATCCTATCATGTATTACGAGAGGTTTTATAACGATACCAGGGGCTGTTCACGCAGCTAGCCAAGAGGAGTAGTACA